TCCTATGTAAAGAATATAGCCAACTTCCTCTTCCTGCTACTACTGTGCATGTGTCCTCATGTACCCACGTGCTAACATACTCCCTTAAGTGTCCAAAATTAAGTACTAAAGGCAAAAAAGAATGCTCCCCATGGAAGTCTTCCCAGTCAACCATAGCAGACTCTTCTGTATATAAGGAACACTTACAATTCCCGCTGCAGGCCCCTGAACTCATAATCAGGGATCAACCTTCACCCATCACGGCGGGGCTTGTCCAAAAGATCTTCAAGGACTCGGCCCACCTTTTTAAAATGGGGGCTACTGCCTTGGACCTGTATAGCACCTTTGGCGGAACCACCTTGGTCAGATCAAATCCGCAGGGTTCTGAATACTCAGGGTCCAGCTCCATAAAGCCGCATTACAGGCAAAACCCAGAGGATTCTTCTCCTCATCCAGCAAGGCTTGAGTACCATCCATTTTGGCTAACAGCTTTTTGAATGGATCCAATTGAGGCTTTTGACTTTCAGTAGAATCATTCCAGACCTCCCAGTATTCTTCACAGAGCATATGCAGCACATGATCATTGAACATCCTCCATACAGACACTGGCAAAAAAAAAAAAGAGTACCTGCTGTGTAGAAGGGGTTATATAGGGAGGAATTCCTGTTTTATTGGTCCGCCAGTGTCCACTCACCTATAGGTGGCATATAACCCACATAGTCATAATTATGGCCTGCTCTGTATAGTGAGATGTATGAGAAAGAAACCTAGTTTTAGACTCTAAACCAAACCTCCTCAGAACTGAGTCTCTATAACTAATCCTTTAAATCTAGAGCAATGCATCCATAAAAATCAACTTTAATGTACACATATCCCATAGACAAATACAGTATAAAATCACATAGTATATAATCTCCATGCCACTTGGTCCATATTGCACAAATACTTTATATTCTTATTCATTCCTGTATCTGTAAATATTGTAAAGGTGGTGTGACAGACACGGCATCAGACCCCCAGCCCTTCTCACCAACTCGTGACCGAAGGACTAGCCAATCTAAAAACCGCGCTGTCACGTGCGTAACAATACCACGCTCAGCTGCACCCTGCATAAACATTTTCCAGCTAATAGACCACAATCTATGTACCGCAGCTTGAGAGCGATTGTTACTGTGTCAGGTTAATTACACAATTAACCCTACACACTGCCACCACCTCCTTTTTGTACAGAGAAAGAGGAAACTCAACAATCTTAGCAGTAACACTATGATGTTTGAATAAGCATCTGAATACACACTGTCACCGCAGGCAGATGTATCCAGAGGTTTTAAAACACACAGTAGCACCCTTCAGAGACAGGGATTCTTAGTTTGCATTAAAGAGCTTTAGAAACAGTTCAACACTTTTCAGAAAATAGTATTTATTACTAAAAAGGGTCAAAATGGTGCAATAAAAATATTTACAGAAAAAGATGTAGCCAATATAATATATATAAATACAGAGAGCAATAACACAACAGGGAGATAACAGAACGAAAGGTAGAATACTTGCCGTTAGCCTTGGTTTAAGCAGCTTCAAGGGTCAGAGCAAAAGGGTGCCTTTTCTCCCAAAGTTGGTTCCTGATGTTAAAAATTATTCAACTTATTGCTCCAAGCATAACAGCCTTTTTCTAGGAACCCAGCAGGGTGTCTACTTACAGCAGAGAACCAATCTTCTCATTTGGGGAGGGGTGTTTTAGGCGGGGAACTCAGGCTATGACCAAATCCCTCCCAGTTTATATCATGGTCAATAACCTTCCTTAGGTGCATGTAGCAGCCTAGCCACTAGTAGATTAATATGCAGAATGATACCTGAACGTTCAGACATCAAACATGCCATATTTAACTATTTCAGCTAGAACTATATGGCTCTCTGCTCTCCTGTAGACTTCAACTAGGGGTGTAAGATATCAGGCGACTCGCATTAAACTGAGCTATCCGAATATATGCTTTGCTTCATTGTAATTTATTTTCTAGCTTAAGATATGAAATTATATGGAAAAGTGATTTTAAAATGGGATGTGTGTATTACGGCTATCCCAGAATGCGTTTGAAGTCCAGTGAAGGACTGGTTTATAGCTTTACGATTAGCTTCAGAGCAAGAGTCTCACAGACATACTGGGCCCAGGCTAATTGTGGTTTATAACCAAGAAGCTACCCCTCTGGGCCTGATGCCTGTGATCTCAGCATACATACAGACCACATTCCTGAGGGAGGGGGATTGGAGGGAGAAAATGATACAAGATGGAGGATCCTTAGCAAGATGGATGACCGCGTCCATCTCTGTGTGCACAATTGCTACAGGTAGGTTCAGGGTAATTAAATTTTGGCTATAGGCAAAAAGACAATGTCCTATTATAAACCCATATAGAGAACCAGAAGCAACCACTGCGCATTTCATGCGCACTTGAATCCGTGGATGAAAATATTTGAGTATAAAAGTCCTCTCCAAAAAGGCACCACCATTTGCCCGCTGGAAGATTTAACCCGGTTCTTGACCAGGCCATTTTTTTGCAATATAGAACTGTGTTACTTTAATTGACAATTGAGTGGTCATGTAACACTGTACCAAAATGAAATTTATGTCCTTTTTTCCCACAAATGGAGCTTTCTTTTGGTGGTATTTGATTACTTTTTTTTTTTTTTTGCATTGTAAACAAATAAAAGACCGACAATTTTGAAAACAACCCAATATTTTTTATTTTGTACTATAAAACACATTCAATAAAATTAAAAATCAAATTTCTTAATAAATTTAGGTCAAAATGTATTCTGCTACATATTTTTGGTAAAAAAAAAATCCCAAGCATGTATTGCACAAAAGTTAAAGCATCTACAAACTATGGAACATATACTGGACTATTTTTTTTTATATACTAATAATGGCAGTGATCAGCAACTTATAGCAGGACTGTGATATTGCGGTGGACATTTTTACAGTAACTGACACTTTGTGGGAACCAGTGACACTAATACAGTGATCATTGCTAAAAATATGCTCTGATCACTATACTAATGACAATCGTTGGGAAGGGGTTAACTCCTAGGGTGATCAAAGGGTTAACTGTGTGCCTAGCTATGTGCTTGGTGTACACTAGATGGCACTGGCACAAGAGGAAGTGATGGATCGTGTTCCCAGCTCTGCAGGGACACACGATCCATGACTTTCCCCTGTGACAGCACAGCTGTGTTCTTCCTCCCTGCCTGACAATCTGGGGGTGCTGGCGAAGACCCATTTGCTACTTGTAGATTGGCTTCTGCTGTGACAGTTCACAGCAGAAGCGATCTGCCAGTGGTGCACGCTCAGCCCTGTGAGGTAGAAGTGCAAAATCACGCGCGTGTGTATATGTGTATGTACAGTGTATATATATATATGTGTGTGTGTGTGGTGATTTTGCAGAGGAGAGCCACCCTGTAACAGTAAAACTGCTATAGGGTGGAGGGAAAGTGGTTACTGCACTTCCAGGTTCATGTTCCAACTCCAAGGTAGCATAATATAGAAATTAGGCATGTGTGGCTGGGTACAAAGTCCTATGCAGGAACCAAAGACAGTGGTTGTTCACAATAAAGTCCATTAGACTGTTTTCCATATATGGTGTGGTCTAGAGGAGGACTCAAAACTAAGACTGTGACTATACATTCCAACCTCCTTCACACACCTAAAGCGGAGCTCCACCCAAAAGGGGAAGCTCTGCTTGTTTGTACCCTTCCACCCCTCCTCTAACTGCTACATTTACCACTTTTTGGGGTGCAGGGGGGAAGTATGTACCTGATTTTTACAGATACTCGTTCCCACCTTCGACTGAGTTTGCCGCATCACCAGTATATGTAACCATATAGAGCTGCTTAGACAGGAATCAAATCTTAAGTGAAACTGTCTTCTTGCATGCCTATATAGTAGCCATGTAGCATACTTCTTGACACCAAATATCTGCCATAAAGAGCTTCAAGACTGGAGCTGATAGGGGGTGAATGTCTTTCTATATCATCCTCCCGACTGCAGCAGAGGTAAGGCATTGTTTGGCATACATCATACAAAGGCTTAAAATGGCCATGCAGGTACTCCGCACACATGTGTGGCACACAATGACGTCATACGCACTTGTACATCGCTGGCCATCCTATATAGTTATTGAGAACAGTGAGAATACACATACCCCAGTGCCCTCCAATGGATAAATACGGGAATAGCTGCAAACAAATACAGTATGCACTATAGTGCCAAAAGTATTGGGATGTCTGCCTTTACACACACATGAACTTTAATGGCATCCCAGTCTTAGTCTGTAGGGTTCAGTATTGAGTTGGCCCACCCTTTGTAGCTATAACAGCTTCGGCTCTTCTAGAAGGCTGTCCACAAGGTTTAGGAGCACATATGTGAGGTCAGGAAATGATGTTGGATGAGAAGACCTGGCTCACAGTCTCTGCTCTAATCCATCCCAAAGGGGTTGAGGTCAAGAGTCTGTGCAGGCCAGTCAAGCTCCTCCACCCCAAACTCGTTCAGTCATGTTGGAACAGGAAGTGGCCATCCCCAAACTGTACCCACAAAGTTGGGAGCATGAAATTGTCTAAAATGTCTTGGTATGCCAATGCCTTAAGAGTTCCCTTCACTGGAACTAAGGGGTCAAGCCCAACCCCTGAAAAACAACCCCACACCATAATCCCCCCTCCACTAAACTTTACACTTGGCACAATGCAGTCAGGCAAGTACTGTTCTCATGCCAACCGCCAAACCCAGACATGTCCATCAGATTGCCAGACAGAGAAGTGTGATTCGTCACTCCAGAGAACACATCTCCATTGCTCTAGAGTCCAGTGGTGGCATGCTTTACACCATTGCATCCTATGCCTTACATTACACTCGGTGATGTAAGGCTTGGATACAGCTGCTCAGCCATGGAAACCAATTCCATGAAGCTCTCTATGCACGGTTGTGCTAATCTGAAGGCCACTCGAAGCTTGGAGGTCTTTAGCTATTGACTCTGCAGACAGTTGGAAACTTCTGCTTGCTTCAGCATGTGCTGACCCCGCTCTGTCATTTTATGTGTTGCTGTAGTTCCCAGTTGCTTACACTTTGTTATAATACCACTAATGGTTTTTTAATAAAGAATATCTGATGTAATAAAAAACTAACACGTTTTCATTTTAATTTTCCTTTCCTTTACAAAAGCAAAAGAAGAAAATATACATAAACAAAAGAGGTAAAGAAAAAGAAACAAGGACATCAGCCAAATCCTCACCAACAGGCAAAGACATGCACATACGCTGGACTACACCACTTGAACATGTAAGATGCCCACAGTGCATTTTCCTGTACAATAGTCAAGTCAATCAATAGTCTGTAGAATGGTGATTGGCCCTGAAAACCAATTAAAACACTTACCTCAACTTGCTATCTCTGTACCAGATAGTGCCACTCTGCACCATGTGTGATTAGTATGAGGTACAGCTAGTGAAGGAGGCTGCTACACCTCATAAGACGTAATAAGCCATGGGTCTCATGGACCAGTAAACCCGGGGAGTTCAAATAGGCCAGCCTAAAACATTGAGTTTAAATAAAAGCAGGCCTAAGCAGGGAGGATCAAGGGAAACCTGTCTGTCACTGTGAGCACGTTTGCTGGGGGGTTCCTAGTTTGATGTTACATCAAATATCACACTAGACCATTGGGCAGTCCACCACTTAAGAGTCTATCCTTGACCAAGTGAAATGGTGCCAAGCCAGGAGTACCCAACCAAGCCTTCCAAAGTTTCATAAATTTGCCAGCACTCCCTCTGTGTTGGTATACTAGTTTCTCTCGATATAGCATATCATTACCTGTTTTAACCCAACAAGCCTTGGAAGGAGTATTCTGAGATAACAATTTTTGTGCAATGAGCTTCCTAGCTATAAATAGAGACGTGTAATAGTAGTGTATGTGAGGGGTTCAAATATTTCTTCATCCAGCCCACCCAACAGAGAGAGTTTCTGGTCTACAGGGAGAGTGAGAGAGAAGATGTTATTGATCAACTTCATCACAGAGGCCCAGTAGCACACCAATTTAGGCCATTTCCACAACATATGTAACAGGGTATGGTTCTCTACTGCACAATGTGGGCATAGAGGAGTGTCGCTCCTGTGCCAGTCAAATAGTTTTTGTGGGGGTACGGTATGTGTGGTGGATTATAAAAAGCTGGGAGGGCTTTTGTGAAGAGGACACAAATACTAATATTAAAATACTAATGACAGCATTGTGGACCACTCCTCGTCAGATATGTGCTCCAGGTCACTAGAAAACTGCATCATGCATTTAAGGGACAAGGCCCTGGATAACCGCTGTATCAGTGCTCCATATAGAGATGATATTTGTCCCTTTTTGGTTAGGGAGAGCACTAGTTGATTAAGAAGAGTAGGGTAAACTAGGACCCAAGGAGAGGCTTTAGCCTGTGCTGAGATGGCATGTCTAAGTTGTAAGTATTGAAAGAAGACGGAGTTGTGTAGACCAAACTCCGCCCTTAGTGTATGAAAGTCTTTCAGAAGTTGCCCATGGTAGAGCTGACGGATATACACTCCTCAAAAGAATTAAAGAAACACTTTTTAATCAGAATATAGCATCAAGTCAATTAAACTCCTGGGATATTGATCTGGTCAGTTAAGTAGCAGAGGGGTTTGTTAATCAGTTTCAGCTGCTTTGGTGTTAATTAAATTAACAACAGGTACACTAGATAGGCAACAATGAGGACGACCTACAAAACAGGAATGGTTTTACAGGTGGAGGTCCATGGCATTTTCTTCCCTACTCATCTTTTCTGACTGTTTTTCAGAGAGTTGGACAGGGCTGTACAAGGTCCTTAACCCATCAGCAGGACTGATATCTGCTCCTTTGTGCAAGGAGGAACAGGATGAACGCTGCAATAGCCCTACAAAATTACCTCCAGCAGGCCACTGGCGTGACTATCTTTGACCAAACAATCAGAAACAGACTTCTTGAGGGTGGCCTGAGGGCCCAACATCCTCTAGTGGCCCTGTGCTCCCTGCCTGGCACCATAGAGCTCGATTGGCATTTGGCATTGAACACCAAAATTGGCAGGTCTGCCACTGGCGCCCTGTGCTTTTCACAGATGAGAGCAGGTCCACCCTGAGCACATGTGACAAACGTGAAAGGGTCTGGAGAAGCCATGGAGAACACTATGCTGCCCATAACACTGTTCAGCATGACCGTTTTGGTGGTGGGTCAGTGATGGTCTGGGGAGGCATATCCATGGAGGAATGCACAGACCTCTACAGGCAAGACAATGGCACCCTGACTGCCATTAGCTATCGGAATGAAATCCTTGGACCCATTGTCAGACCCTACGCTGGTGCTGTGGGTCCTGGGTTCCTCCTGGTGCACGACAATGCTCGGCCTCATGTGGCAAGAGTATGCAAGCAGTTCATGGAGGATGAAGAAATTGACACCATTGAATGGCCCCCACGCTTGCCTGACCTAAATCCAATAGAACACCTCTGGGATATCATGTTTTGGTCCATCCGATGCTGCCAGGTTGCACCTCAGACTTTCCAAGAGCTCAGTGATGCCCTGGTCCAGATATGGGAGTAAATACCCAGGACACTATCCGTCGTCTCATTAGGAGCATGCCCTGACGTTTTCAGGCATGCATACAAGTATGTGAGGGCCATACAAACTACTGAGTACCATTTTGAGTTGCTGCAATGAAATGAAGTTTCAGCAAAATTGACTAGCCTGCTTTTATCATTTTTCACTTTGATTTTTAGGGCATCTTTGAATTCAGTCCTTTGTAGGTTGCTTCCATGCCGACCACCAAATCATCAGTGGACACAACACCTGGGAGAAGTGATTTGACAAAATCTGGATGTGTGTCGTCCTGCCAGGCTGTGAAATGTTATTGGGCCGCAGTATAATAAAGGAGGGGGTTGGAAACCACAAGGCCGCCCATATCCTTAGATTTCTGCAGGGTCTCCAGTTTAATGTGAGGGGAACGCTTCCGCCAAACTATGGAATGGAATACATTGTCAAATCTTTTAAAAATCCATGTACAGTGCATCCAGAGAGTATTCACAGCACTTAACTTTTGCCACATTTTGTTATGTTACAGTCTTATTCCAAAATGGATTAAATTTATTTTTTTCCTCAACATTCTACAAACAATACCCCATAATGACAACGTGAAAGAAGTTATTTTTGAAATCTTTGCAATTTATTAAAAATAAAAAATGCAAATAAACATGTACATAAGTATTCACAGCCTTTGCCATGACACTCAAAATTGAGCTCTAGTGCATCCTGTTCCCACTGATCATCCTTGAGATGTTTCCATAACTTGATTGGAGTCCACCTGTGGGAAATTCAGTTGATTGGACATGATTAGGAAAGGCATAAACCTGTCTATATAAGGTCCACAGTTAACTGTGCACGTCAGAGCACAAACCAAGCCATGAAGTCCAAGGAATTGTCCGTAGACCTCCGAAACAGGATTGTATAAAGGCACAGATTTGGGGAAGGGTACAGAAAAATTTCTGCAGCATTGAAGGTCCCATTGAGCACAGTGGCCTCCATCATCCGTAAATGGAAGAAGTTTGGAACCACCAGGAATCTTCCTAGAGCGGGCCTCCCGGCCAAAATGAGCGATCAAGGGAGAAGGGCCTTAGCCAGGGAGGTAACCAAGCACCCGGTGGTCACTCTGAAAGAGCTCCAGCATTTCTCTGTGCAGAGAGGAGAGACTTCCAGAAGAACAACCATCACTGCAGCACTCCACCAATCAGGTCTGTATGGTAGAGTGGCCAGACGGAAGCTACTCCTCAGTAAAAGGCAAATGAGAGCTAGCCTGGAGTTTGCCAAAAGGCACCTGAGGGACTCTCAACCCATGAGAAACTAAATTCTCTGGTCTGATGAAACAAAGATTGAACTCTTTGGCCTGAATGCCAATCGTCATGTCTGGAGGAAACCGGCACCGCTCACCACCTGGCCAATACCATCCCTACAGTGAAGCATGGTGGTGGCAGCATCATGCTGTGGTGATGTTTTTCAGCAGCAGGAACTGGGAGACTAGTCAGGATCGAAGGAAAGATGAATGCATTTAATCCATTTCGGAATAAGGCTGTAACATAACAAAATGTGGAAAAAGTTAAGATCTGTGAATACTTTCTGGATGCACTGTAGGTTTCCACACAGGGGCATTATGCAGGATGTAGAGTAATTAAGGGGCCCATATCATTTTAATTAAATTACACCTCCCTACAACAGAGAGGGTTAGTTTTGTCCAACTGGTTGTTTTTTGTTGGAATTTTTTAAGTAGCGGGAGCAAATTTAAATCAGTATACTTGGATAGAGTGGGGTGTATAATGATGCCTAGGTATTTAAAGGAGTCTATTTCAATCTGTGCCACTTCAGGTGGTATGGTATGTGTAAGTATCTAGTGGGAGAAGGGTAGATTTGTCCCAATTTATTGAAAAGCCGGAGAAGGAGCCAAATTCTGTGATTAGTGCCATCAGGCATACTTGCCCCTGGCCAAGTATGATACCCGAGGGGTACAGTATATGATCAGATCAGAGCCCAAATCTAAGTGTATGAGGGACAGAGAGGTATGGGAACTTGAGAAGGATGAAAACGTAGCATCTAGTGGGTGGAGATATCTCCATAAATCCCGTAGCCCAAGCCCAGAAACAACATAGCAAGTGAAAAAAATATAAAAATTCACAACTTGGGCCCAAAAGTGGGCAAATCTGAATAAACTCAAATACGCCCCTCAGGGTTGCTAAGGGGGTAACTAAGAGGGCTAAGGCAGACTTTCCAAGAGGTGTAGCCATGTGAGTCATCCGCTAATAATTCAGTGCTGATAGACTGCTCTTCCCACTTTGCATCCATTATTGTCTCTCCTTACTTGAATATGGAGTTAAGGAAACACCGGTCAGTACTTTGTTCAGGCAGGAGCTGGGCATTGACGCCTTTCATTCCAATCCAACCAGTTAGCCGCTGCAGTAGGAGTATCGAAGAATTGTACAGAGCCTTCTGCTATCACTCACAGCTTAGCAGGGTAAAGCATGGAATAAGACCCCTGGATTGCTTGCAGGTGGCGTTTACCTTCAGTGAATCTGGCTTGCTTAAGCTGGATTTCAGCTGAGAAAACTGGGAATATAGATATTTTCCCGCCTTGGATCTCCATGTTAGATTGATGTCTGATGAGTCTGAGGATATCTCTGTCCTTGTAGACATTTCAGCAGGAAAGGTCTGCCTGGGCCCCCTGGTGGTGGTGGGTGAGGTGGCACCCTGTAGGCTCTTTCCACAGAAAAGAAAGGGGTTAGACTATCCTTGTCAAATGTGGTAAGGAGCCAGGTACCACTAACAGTTGACTTGTGGAATATTTAGTAGCAAGGAAATTTCACAGATGGACTTATTGCACAGGTGGTAACCTATCATGGTACCACACTTGAATTCACTGAGCTCCCGAGAGCAACCCATTCTTTCACTAATGTTTTTAGAAGAAGTTTGCATACCTAGGTGCTTGATTTTATACACCTGTGGCCATGGAGGTGATTGGAACACCTGAATCCAATGATTTGGAGGGGTGTCCCAATACTTTTGGCAATATAGTGTGTCTACACACACTGGGACATCACAGGCCATCCTACAGTACCCAGTCAATGAGAGCCATAAGAATACACATGCCATGGTGCCCTCTAGTGGACTAATATAAGAATAGCTACAGACATATATATGTGCCCAATAGTGCAATCATGTGGAGAAATTAGATACCAATTTGTTCAACTGGGTGCCATGTGGTTGCTATGACCAATCATAGTGATCACATAGCAATGTAAACAGCCTGTCATGAATGTCTTTCCATTCATGAACTGCTTGCTGTTTTGATCTGTATATTGGCCCACAGCAATCACATGGTACCTGGCTACCTGTACCTTGTGATTAGCTGTAGCCAAATTGCAAATCACAACCATAGGCAAGCTGTTCATGAATGGGAAACCCATTCATAACAGCTAAAGCTATTGCTTATACAATGATCATCAATGTATACAAAACAACAGTGTTAAAAAAAAAAAAAAAAGAAATCTTAGTGTTACTATGGTGACACTGAGGTACTCTTATGACAGGATGTAAAAAAATTGTAAAAAGAAAAAAGTTTTAAAAAAAGAATAAATTATTTATCTGCTTCCCTCCCTGCCACTGCATGTAAATGGTCAAGTGGGAGCTTTCGTGTTCTGAGTGAATGTTCCAGTACGTGCTGTCAGAAGGTGGCAGCATGAACTTGTGATTACAGTGAAATCGCACGATTTCAAAGTTGGGTGACATGCCGATTTCAGGTGCAATTGAAAGACATCTGATGCATGCCAATTCACATCCAGTGTGTCCGGGGACCTAGACTCTATAACTTTCACACAGGTCAAATAATTAAAACTTATTTGGGTTATTTTTGCCAAAGAAATGTAGCTGTATAAATTTTGATCAAAATCTATGAAGAAAAAATACTTATTTGCAAAAATTTTTACCGGAAACTAAGAAAAACATACTTTTTTTTTCAAAATTTGCATTTTATTTTTAAATTCTAGCACAAAACAATATAAAACCCAGTGGTTATTAAATACCACCAAAAGAAAGCTCTGTCTGTCTCAAAAAATGATAACAATTTCATATGGGTACAGTGTTGGATGACTGGGTAATTATCATTCAAAGTGTGACAGCAAATATGGCCTGGGCAGGAAGAGGGAGACAGTGCCCGGTATTGAGGTTGTTAAACATTTTTAACATACTGTCATCAGTCAGAATCCCGAACACAGCCACACCAGCCTTATGATGACACTGTACTGCACTGATGACAGTATGTAAAAGAAAAAAATTGTGACGCTATAAATTTCACACAAACCAATTAACCACTTGCCCTCCAGAGGATTTACCCCCCTTTCTGACAGGCCATTTTTTGCGTTACGGTGCTGCATTACTTTAACTGACAATTGCGCGGGTCATGCAACACTGCACCCAAATGAAATTTACGTCCTTTTTTTCCCACGAATTGAGCTTTCTTTCGGTGGTATTTGATCACCTGTGCATTTTTATTCTTTGCGCTATAAGCAAAAAAAAAAAAACCCTAACAATTTTCAGAAAAAAAAACAATATTTTGGGCTTTTTGCTATTAAACATGTCCAGTAAAAAAATTAAAAAAAATCAAATTTCGTCTTAAATTTAGGCCAAAATGTATTCTGCTCCATGTCTTTGCTAAAAAAAAATCTCAATACTTGTAAATAATTGGTTTACGTGAAAGTTATAGCGTTTACAAATGGCGGTATAGATACTGGGATTTTTTTTTCCTACTAGTAATGGCGGCGATCAGCGGGACTGCTGCAGGTATTCTGTCACGGGGGGGGGGGGGAACTAACTTGGTGTCACTGACATCCCCAATGACACCAATACAGTGAACAGTGCTAAAAAACAGCACTGACACTGTACTAATGACACTGGGCAGAAAGGGGGTTAATGTGAAGGGGCGATCAAAGGGTTAACTGTGTGTAGGAAGTGTTTTACCAGGGGTGGGAGGGGGGTGTGCTTCACTGTAAGCACACTGCTTGGGATGGCTGTGCTGTGCACAGCTATCCCAAGCAGTATGCCCGAGCTGACAGTAGGTGATCGTCGGTAATCACCGGGCGCCGGCAGGTACTCACCCGGTGATTGACATCCATGGCCACGAATGGCGGCGCGGGTAGGGCGCGTGCACCCCCTACCCGGAAATGCAAAATCACGTATATATACATGATTTTGTGCACCCGTGCCGTCGTGTAGCAGTATATCTGCTATACGGCGACGACGGGGAAGCAGTTAATATACACTTATTGGGACTTTTTTTTTACAAAGACATGTAGCAGAATACATTGGCCTACATTTTTTAAGGAATTTGACTTTATTGAATATGCTTCATAACAGAGTAGAAAATATAGTTTTTTCAAAATTTAATTTAATAAAAAAACAGTGGTGATCCAATACCACCAAAAGAAAGCTCTATTTGTGTGAAAAAAAATATATAAATGTCATTTGTGTACAGAGTTGCATGAGTTGTATGACTGCGCAATTGCCAGTTAAAGTGGTGTAGTGTTGAATAGCAAAAAATGGCCTGGTCATGAAGGGGGTAAAACCTTCTGGAGCTCAAGTGGTTAAAACAATGTGTTTGGTGTGATGTCCGTTTTCTGTACTTGAACAAAAGCTTCATTATCTGTGGGGCACAGCATGGATTCCTGGACAGTCGTTTCCATCTGGCACTACAAAATCACAGCTCTTATTGAAGTACGTGTGTCCTGCTCCATTAGTAGCCTTTCCCTCAGTTTTGGGTTTGTAGTCTTTTCAAAAAGCTGGTCTGTAATCCATTTCATCATGTAAGGGTCCAAATCTTCAGGGTGCTGTTAAGCTGAAACAGCAGCACCCAGTCTAGAAAGTCCTTGACAGCTCTAGACTCAATCGGGTCCTCTGAATATGAGTCGGAGTACGAGGGCCCGTACTGAGCTGTGGCAACAGCTTTCCCGCCTTATTACCATATCTATAAAATTTTAAAGTGGAAAAGGCCGATTTGGCTGCTTCCTGGTGTTTAGCCCAGTAATCAAAGGCTCGTTTGGCAGATTTCCAATTCTGCCTATTCTTGTGCGTGTGATATGTGCCTGATGAAAAGATTCACTCTCCTCTTGGTAAAGCAGTTGGGACCTATACTTAAATTGTGTGGCTATAGGAGATTATGCGTCCTCTAAGGAACGCCTTTACGGCTTCCCAGAATAGGTTAGGAGTGGTTAAATGTCCATAAATTCCTGCCATGCCGGCAGTAAATAAGATTTGAAGTCTTTGTTATTGGCTAAATAAATGGGCAAGCGCCAGGGGTTCAGGAATTTTGGAGTTTTCAACCCAGACAGCTGTAATAGGGTTGGACAATGGTCAGTGTAGCAATCGTGCACACAGAGATGGATGCGAACCTCCATTTTGGCAAAGGCCTCCATCTTCTGTCATTTTCTACTCCCAAATCAGCTCCTCCACATCCCCCCCTCCCTCTCTGTTTAGTGACACATGGTCCCTGGATGCTGAGTTCAAAAAGGCATCAAGGCCCAGCGGGAGAGTTCATGGCTATAGACCCCATATAGCCTGGCCCCCATATCTCTGCGAGACTCTGCTTGGAAAAGGATCGTAAAAACCATAAACCAGTCCCTCGCTGAGCTTCAAAGACATTCCAGATAAACCGTGAACCAGACATCACATTCAACATCCACTTTCCCCTATGATTACATATCTTGGAATATGAAAGACTTACAGAAAAACCAGGCATATATTCAGACCGGTCACTTTAATACAAGTCGTCTGATATATTACACCCCCTAGCTGACACACGTGACAGCGTGGTTTTAGATTGGCTAGTCATTCAGTCACGAGTTTTGTGAGAAGTGCTGGGGTCTAACGCCACGATCGTCACAGTCAGAAATGGCCATATCGGAAATAGTCGTTCTACATAGCATAGACGAGCGGCTGCGAGCAAAAAAGATAGTCAATGCGAGAAAAAGAATCATGAGGGGATAAATAGAACGTGTATTCCCGGTCTGTCGGGTGTTGGAGACGCAATATGTCATGCAGATTAAGCATATCCATAGATTGTGCTAAAGCAGTAGAGGAGGGAAACTGAGGCAGCTGTCTAAGACGTCGCGTGGGATGTTTTTTGATCAATATCATTGTGCATAACTGCGTTAAAGTCGCCGCCCAGGATATGACAGGATTTTGGAATCTGTAAGGCCCATGAAGTCAGACCCTGGTAAAAGTTTTGTCCTGGAGAATTGGGAGCGTATAGAGTGGAGATAGCAATGTCACGAGAGGCGATAGTAATATCTCTGGGTCTGCGACCCTCAGAATCAGAGTTGACAGAGCGAACATTGTAACACAAATTTTTGTGGAAAAGTATAGCTACTCCTGCCTTATGGCCCACAGCCGGAGAACCAAATACCTGACTCACCCAAAAGATGAGAAAGATCGCTGGCAGAGAGATGAGTCTCCTGCAAAAGAGCCATATCTGTCCCCAAACGTTTCAAATGATGTAGTACTTGCATACGCTTGTTCGGTGAGTGTAGGCCCTTAACATTCCACGAGATTACCTTCAAGTGATCCCTGTCATCAGGTGGATCAATGTCTGTCGTAGTACAAAATTTGTACAAGGCCTAAAATAGGGCAGAACCATGCCAGGCATCACTCCAATGAATCCAGGTTGATCAGAGCAATATTTGTTACATAGGGAAATGCAGCAATAAAAGACAACAATGCAAAACAATAAATGTAGTACTTCTCTAATAAATTGGGAGAAGCTCCCCAGGTAGGTTGGGAACTTCCCTTTTTTCCGCATAGAGCAATCCAGTGAAGCTCCTGTACTCAATACTCCACTACTGTCTTGGACAACAATGTATACGGGGGGGGGGGGAGGGAAGGGGGGTAGGGAGTGGGGGGGGAGGAAAGAGGGAGAATGGCAAAATGGGGAACAAAAGTACCTGAAGACCCTCTTCGCCCATCTTAGCGGACAGGTGTGCAGGGCGGATTGCCTCAGGGGAGGCATGAACAAGATAAATACCAAACAT